TATCTGGAGCCAGGCATGGTACCTCATGCCAGCAATCCCAGCATTTTGGGAGGCTGAAGCTGGAGGATCATTTGAGACCAGGAGTTTGAGACCAGCCTGGGCAAATAATGAGGCCCCGTCTGTACAAAAACTTTAAAAATTAGCCAGGTGTGGTGATGCATGCCTGTGGCCCCAACTACTTAGGAGGCTGAGGTGGGAGGATCATCTGAGCTCAGGAAATTGAATCTGTAAGTAAGCCATGATTACACAATTGTACTTCAGCCTGGGTGACAGAATAATGACACCATCTTTTAAATTTTAAAGTCAGCTTATAATCCTTGGGGAAGTGTCTTTTTTGCACCATTGTTATGATTCAGACAGGATTCTTTCATGATTTTTCTTTTAATTTTTAGAGATGCGGTCTCACTCTGTCACCTAGGCTGGAATGCATTGGCTCAGTCATACCTCACTGCAGCCTCAGATCCCTGGGTTCAAGTGATCCTCCCACCTCAGCTTCTCGAGCAACTGGGGCTGCAGGTGTGAGCCAGTGTGTCTGGCAAATAAAAATAATAATAATTAGATAATACCTACTGTTGTTGAGGACATGAGGAAATGCATTTTCTTTCACATCCTGCTATTAGGAGTGAAAAACAATGCAACTGCAATCATAGCTCCCTGCAGCTTCAAGCTGCTGGCCTCAAGCTGTGCTCTCACCTCAGCCCCCACAAAGTATCCTCCCATGACTTCGATCAGGATTGTTTTGAATAAAATATATTCCTTAAAAATGAATAGAAAAGGAAGATGATTTTTTTTTGGTGGCGAGATGGAGTATTCCTCTGTCACCCAGGCAAGAGTGCAGTGGTGCAATCTTGGCTCACTACAACCTCTGCCTCCTGAATTCAGGCAGTTCTCCTGCCTTAGCCTCCTGAGTAGCTGGGACTACAGGTGCCTGCCAGAATGTCTAGCTAATTTTTGTAGTTTTAGTAGAGATGGGGTTTCACCACGTTGACCAGGCTGGTCTTGAACTACTGTTATCAGATGATCGGCCCGCCTCCGCCTCCCAAAGTGCTAGGATTACAGGCATGAGCTACTGTGCCCAGTTGATAATATTTTTTAAAGAGGTTGGTAAAATATGCTGGAGCTAGCACACACTCCCCCCAAGCCAGAAGTCAAGGATTTTAGACCATTTTCTTTTTCCAATGCCAATTTATGACAATTCTGAATCTGTCTCTCAAATTGTTTCAAAAAATGACTGATATATACTTTGGAAATTCTAATGTAACCAGTTAATCGACTTTGTTGTTGTTTTGAGACGAGTCTCGCTCTGTCACCCAGGTTGGAGTGCAGTGGCACAATCTTGGCTCACAATCTCTGCCTCTGGGTTCAAGCGATTCTCCTGCCTCGGTCTCCCACGTAGCTGGGATTACAGGTTCCCACCACCATGCTTGGCTAATTCTTTTTGTATTTTTAGTAGAGAGAGGGTTTCGCCATGTTGGCCAGGCTATTCTCAAACTCCTGACCTCAAGTGATCTGCCCACCTCAGCCTCCCAAAGTCCTGGGATTGTAGGTGTGAGCCACCACACCCGGCCTCATTCTCCTTTCTTTAGTGCTCACTCCGAATTGCTGTCTTGCTAATTTTAACTTGCATTAATATCACTTTTTCTTTTTTCATTTTGAGATGGAGTCTTGCTCTGTCACCCAGGCTGGAGTTCAGTGGCCCTATCTCGGCTAACTGCAACCTCCACCTCCTGGGTTCAAGCAATTTTTCTGCCTCAGCCTTCTAAGTAGCTGGGACTACTGGCACACACCACCATGCCCAGCTCATTTTTGTATTTTTTGTTTGTTTGTACAAAGTGATTTATTTAAAAAGAGAGAGAGAGAGAGAGAGAGAGAGAGAGAGAAGAAAGAGAGAGAAATAAACAGTTAACTCTCACAATGAGTGAGAGAATCCAGAAAGAGGAAAGCAGCTTCCACACTGAGTGGAAGGGAATAGAGAGAGATGGAGCTTGGGAGGGGAAGACAGGCTTCCACAAAGGGAGTGTTCGTGGAAGGGGACTCCAGAGGGAAAATCCTGGATAGAGAAAAACAGCTTCCATGAGCAGGAGAGTGTTTGTGGAAGGGGATCCAAACATGGAGTCCCTCATTTTTGTATTTTTAATAGAGACAGGGTTTCACCATGCTGACCAGGCTGTTCTCGAACTCCTGACCTCATGATCTGCCCACCTCAGGCTTTCAAAGTAATGGGATTATAGGTGTGAGCCACTGCACCCAGCCTAAGGTCACATTTTTAGGTTTCAGGAAGTCTAGGACCCCGTAAAAAAAAATACATAAAAAATTAATCTTGTCACTTGATAATTTTTAAAGTCAGTTTTATTGAAGAATAATTTACATAGACTAAAATTCACTTTTTAGTTGTGTGGGCCTCTGAGTTTTAACAAATATAAACTGCCATGTAACCACCACCACATTGAGTCTCACTCTGTTGCCTAGGCTAGAATGCAGTGGCACGATCTCAGCTCACAACCTCCACCTCCCAGATTCAAGCAATTCTCCTGCCTCAGCCTCCCAAATAGCTGAGATTATAGGTGCACACCATCTCGCCCAGCTAATTTTTAGTATTTAGTAGAGATGGGTTTTTGCCATGTTGTCCATGATGGTCTAGAACGCTTGACGTCATGATCCACCCGCCTCCAAAAGCAATGGGATTAGAGGCGTGAGCCACCAAGCCTTCCAGCCAGCTTTTTTATTAATAACATTTTTCCCTAACTGGGTCTATTGTTTGTTCTTTATCCCTGAAACTTAACGATTTTCCCAGACTGTGTGTTGTTGTTGATGTTTTCTTATTAATTTTTCTCAATCCCAGTGAACCCACTCTATTTCCCACCTCCACCATCTTTGTGTAACCTAAGGAAACTTTTCTCCCATTGTAATTTTGATTATTCGCTCTAACCATTTTGCTCTGTCTTCCTGTGGGGATGCCTAGAGTTAGAATCCCTAGATGCTCTCCATCCCCATTGTCTTCTCTTACAGAAATCCATCATTTTCTTCCATATTCTTAAAATTTTTCTCATGTTTATCTTCTGTATTGTTAATGTACTCTTCTGCATCAAGCCTACTCTTGCTGCTTCAACCTTGCTTTTACTTTGGTTGTTGCGAGGTTTGTTCATTTGTTTTGAGACAGAGTCTAGCTCTGTCGCCCAGGCTGGAGTGCGGTGGTGAGATCTCGGCTCACTGCAACCTCCACCTCCCATGTTCAAGCAATTCTCCTGCCTCAGCCTCCCCAGTAGCTGGGACTACAGGTGCACGCCGACACGCCTGGCTAATTTTTTGTATTTTAGTAGAGATGAGGTTTGTTTGTTTGAGATGGAGCCTCTCTCTGTTGTTAGGCTGGAGTGCAATGGCATGATCTCGGCTCACTGCAACCTCCAACTCCCTGGTTCAAGTGATTCTCCAGCTTCAACCTCCCAAGTGGCTGCGATTACAGGCACACGGCACCACATCCAGCTAATTTTTATATTTTTATTAGAGATTGGGTTTCACCATGTTGGCCAGGATGGTCTTGATCTCTTAACCTCATGATCTGCCTGCCTCGCCCCCTACAAAGTTCTGGGATTACAGATGTGAGCCACTGCACCCGGCCAGTTATTTTGGTTTTAATTTCATGGCACTCCATTTATCCTGATCTGCTTTTTTTCTTGTTGTTGTTGTTGTTGTTGTTGTTGTTGTTGTTGTTGTTTTTAATATTCAATGTTCTCTTTTGAATAAGAATTTGGTATTTTTCTAAAATTGGGTCCTGCTTCATGGGCTAAATATATTTTGAAGGAGTAAATTTTGGCTGTAGCAGTTTATTCCTTTTCTCTCCTTTTCTCATCCTTTTTCCCTCACAGGATATTTTGTTTGTTTCTTTGTTTTAGAGACAGGGTATTGCTGTGTTGCCCAGGCTGGTCTTGAATTCTTGGCCCCAAGTTGTTGGGGATTACAGGCATGAGCCACCACACCAGCTTCCACTAGAGGGAAAATGAACAAACAAACAAACAAAAACAAAACTTTGTCTATTCTCCTGTGAGACTAACTGATCTTTGTTGATGTCTGGAAGTCAAGAGTTGATGGTTTTAAAGATGGACGTGTTGGAAAAAGAAGATATAGGATCTGCTGCTCTTCCTTCTTCTTCCAAAGATGGCAGGGAAATGGTTCAGAGGCAGTGGCTGGCTCCATTGTCTGTCTCGTTGTCTTAGTTTTTCTTGATATCCACCTGCTTCAGGACTCTAAATTTTGTTTTTTCAACTTCTGTTGTTTGTGACTGTTTCTGAGCCTGGTGTATCTGCTTCGTTTTCTTTGCATCTCAATGTTTTGGTTTTATTGATTTCATCTTTGCACTTCTTTTTCAGTTTCAGCTCTGTCAACATTTCTGCCCATCTGTACCAATCTGAGTCTGTCTCTGAATGCAAATGTGTGTCTCAAGTGTTTCAACCCACCACCCCCTAATCCCTTACTCTGCTTTGTTTTTCGTTTTTCTTTCTTTCTTTCTTGAGATCCCTACCACCCCCTAATCCCTTACTCTGCTTTGTTTTTCTTTTTTCTTTCTTTCTTGGAGATCGAGTCTTGCTCTGTTGCCCAGCCTGGAGTGCAGTCATGCGGCTCATGGCAACCTCCTCCTCTCAGGTTCAAGTGGTTCTCCTCCCTCAGCCTCCTGCATAGCCGGGATTACCGGTGCCCACTATCAGGCCTGGCTAATTTTTGTATTACTATTTTTTCTTTTTCCGAGTCGGAGTCTTGCTGTGTTGCCCAGGCTGGAGTGCAGTGGTGTGATGTCGGCTCACTGCAACCTCCGCCTCCCGGGTTCAAGCAATTCTCCTGCCTCAGTCTCCCGGGTAGCTGGGATGACAGGCGCCTACCACTGTGCCCAGCTAATTTTTATATTTTTAGTAGACGCGGAGTTTCACCATGTTGGCCAAGCTGGTCTTGAACTCCTGATCTCGTCATCTGCCCGCCTCGGCCTCCCAAAGAGCTGGGATGACAAGCCCCAGCCGCGAAGAACCAATCTGCTGCTTGGCTCCGCCCCGGCACCCGCCTCCGCTGCGCTGGGCTCACGATCTGCTACACCGCTGCCCGCCAGTCAGTCTTGCAGGCAGGCAGTCGGTTGGAGTCTCCTGGGGTCTTCAGCTCTCCGGCGCGGTGTCTTCCTTCCTTCTCCGTGACAGCTGCGGCAGCTGCACTGAAGGCGGCACAGTCCCTTCGAGAGGGACGGCAGGAGCTGAAAGGCGGTGCAGAGTTTGGAGCCCAGTGCGGCGACCCGGCAGGCAACATGGCGGCGGCGGAGGCGGAGGCGGCGGCGGCGGCTGTGGGGGCGCGAGGCGGAGATGGTCCACGGGTAAGTGTTCGCTGTGGGACCGCACAACACCAACCGCTGGTACATCCTGGGGGGCGCCTATGGCACCGCGTAGTGTGGTGCGTGTCCGCGCCTGGGCTCCTGGTCCCCCCATTTCCTCGGGGGAGAGGACACAGCTCCTGGGCGTAGAGGACACAGCCTAGGTCTCGCCCGTGCCTCGGACTCAGGTACCCGGCGACCTTGAACCCGGACTTCAATGTGGTCTGCGCGCCGAGGCTCGCGGGGGCGTTGAGGTTTAGGTGTATTTCCGGCACTTCCCCGGCGAGCGGTCGCTTGGGAAGGGGCACAGGATGTGGCGCGGGGCGCGGAGGTCAGGACCTGGGGACCCCCGCCCCGGTTGCAGCTCGGCCTTTCAAGTCTAGACCCTGGGGAAGGTAATGGGAGTGCCCCCACCCATCGCACCCATAATGCTAGCATTATGATCTTCTTTTTTTTGATTTTCGATTGTAAAACTGGTGCTTGTCGGTGTTGGCAGCCGAGGTCCTGAAAGCGGTTTGCCTCCAGGTGTGTGCAGAACACCGAAATAATCATTTTTTTCCCTCCTCGCCTCTGTTTACAGTGAACGGCTTTGATTTAATATCCTCAGCGATGCTAATCGCCGGCTCCGCACAGGTTTTCTAAAATGCGTTACTGACACCAGTGTTGGTGGAATCTTTCTGTCTTGAAGGTTTTGCTTTTAAGTGGATGTTAGTATTGTACTGTTGGCGTTTCAGCAAGGATAAACCAGCATCACTCTTGCTTTATTAAAGATCCGTTTGGAGTTGGGCCTAATTTGACTTTTTTTTTTAGCTCCCAAGTGAGCTTTTTTACCAGCATAAATGCTGCCAGATGTTTTCGCCCAATTGCTATGGACTTTCCTGTTAATGATTTAGTGGTCAGTATGTATGCAACCTTAATGGAGTTCTTGCAGAATCACATGTAGGCTCCCTCATCTTGATTTAGGTCCCTTAGAAAAGTGAAATGTTGGTGACGGTATTGTTTTTATTAGAGCAAACTAGCTGTATGTAGCATTTCGTGCTGGTGAAGACTTGTGGAAGTAGATTCCCTTAAATCTGAATCTTGTGAATGTGTGTTTTGTGTTGACTGAAGGAAGTAAACTAATGTATTGAGCACTTTGTGGCAGGTACTGGGCTACACACATTATTTCATTTTATTTGAACAGCCACACTGAAAGAGGAAAAGATGGCGTTATTTCTTTTTTCAGGTGAGAAAGTTATTTCAAGGTGAAGCTAATTCCTTAGGTCATAGAACTAAAGTGATTCTTAAGTTTGTAGACTGAGATTCTACTTCACACACCACAACTCTTTCCAACTGTTTTTAGAAAAACACCCTGCTTTCCTTAGTATAATTAATAATTGTAGAATTTTGTGCATTGCAATGTATAAATTAAATTATAAAGTCTGTTTCAGAAATGTATTCTAATTTCAATCCTAATTTTGGAAATGCCATAGAAGGCATATTTTACCAAGTATTGTAGCTAGATAGAAAGATTACTTAAAATTGTTTTTTAAAGAACTTTACTTGAACCTTTAATATTTTCACTTTCTTTGGGAGCAAAATGAGGCATACCACTGCGAAAATTAATATGAACTCACAGGCTTAGGAGCCAGGGGAGAATTTAAATTAGGTGGAGCCTAAAAGAAATAAGGCCCTAAAAAGTAATGAAGAGATAATAGCATCATCTCTCTACTATACATCTCATTCCTGTTGCACTCACTGGTAATTGTGCCAATGAACCTGTCTCATTATGAGAGGCTCAGAATTTCCCATCACATCCTTTGGCCTTTTAACAAGATTAACTTTAAAAAACCCTTTTACGTTTAGGACATGTCAATTGAAAAGATACCCCCATCTGGTAAGATTTCCCCTATCTGATAAAGTTTTTTAATAGTCTGAACAGCCGGGTTCGGTGGCTCAAGCCTGTAATCCCAGCACTTTGGGAGGCCGAGGCGGGTGGATCACGAGGTCGAGAGATCAAGACCATCCTGGTCAACATGGTGAAACCCCGTCTCTACTAAAAATACAAAAAATTAGCTGGGCATGGTGGCACGTGCCTGTAATCCCAGCTACTCAGGAGGCTGAGGCAGGAGAATTGCCTGAACCCAGGAGGCGTAGGTTGCGGTGAGCCGAGATGGCGCCATTGCACTCCAGCCTGGTTAACAAGAGCGAAACTCCGTCTCAAAATAGTCTGACAACTATTTCTTTCACTGCTGTAGGCTTATTTGAGCTTCCGACTCTCCATTTGAAATGCTAAATCCTCTTATTTTGATTTTCCTTTCCTAAGTGAAATACAAATACAAATATAATTGGAATTTGAATCCTAGATCCAGATTATAGCTTTTTATCACGTTGATGACATACCCTGCTATTAAGCTTCTCCACTGCACATTATTAGCAGTTAATAAATATTGGCTAACAGAGCTGGATCTATAGAGGGCTTGTTGAAATATTCACTAATATTTGAATAGTGATCTTTTAAAAAATGCTTCCAGAAAGATTTATTGATTTCTAGCCATTTTGTAGCTTTTCTCACCCTCCATTTCCTTCTCAGTTCATTAGGAATTGTGACTATTTTGTTGAAATCCCTTTCTTAATCATTATGTAGAGAATGTAAAGATGAAGAGTGGGGTTTGAGTTGGGCCTTTAAGAGTGGGTGTGATTTTGATATGCAGCTAATAGGGGTAAGTGACAGCTTGAGCTGTGGAATCTAATCCTGCAAATGTACTCAGGTGGCAACCTGTAGAGGACTCCAAAGGCAAAACTAAGTTTGGCTGTATATCTGCTTAGTGGAAGAAGCATTTTTTTTATTTATGTATGTATTTTTTGAGATGGAGTCTCGCCTCTGTCAACCAGGCTGGGAGGTTGGGAGTGGCACGATCTTGCTCACTCCAACCTCCATCTCCTGGGTGCAAGTGGTTCGCCTGCCTCAGCCTCCTGAGTCAGCTGGGACTAGAGGCACATGACAGCCAGCCTGGCTGATTTTTTTTTTGTATTTTTGTAGAGATATTTTTTGTATTTGTAAAAACACTTTTGGTATTTTTGTAGACAGTAGCCACCGTGACAAGGTGAGGCTGTAATGCCAGCACTCACTGCATCTGTTTTAGGCTTTTTTGTCTTTGCCTGCCCAGCTGCTCCTGCCCAGCTAGAGGAGGAAAGGGAGGAGCCACCAGCTGCACCCCTGGAGGCTGGATCCTGCAGATAGCTGGCTCTGTGGCTCACCTTGCTGTGGTTGGTGGGCCACAACAGGGACTTCAGCTTGACTGGAGCCATAGAAGGGCACCTGTGGTGGCCAGGTGGTAGGAGCCTTGTAGGGTGGGCTGGTGCAGCAGCAGTGGTTGTATTGGTGGGTACACTAGTGGCAGCAACAGCAAGTCTGAGGTCCACGAAGGGGAATAGGAGCGCTGCAGGTCCCTTCCTAGACTGGGATGGGGAGGAAATTGCAGGTGCTGTGCCATGGGCCTCAGTGGCAGTGGTGAAGGTGCAGTCAGGGCAAGAGGAATGTTCTCCATTCTTCTGCAGAATCGGAGGGTCCTTTCCTGTTGGCACCTGAGCCCGGTGAGATGTGGCAGCATTGTCTCACTCTTAACAAAGTTAGAGAGTGACTGTTATTTTCTACTTGTTTTTGTTTTGATAGTCCTGGACTTCTTAAAATTCCATGAATTGGGGAGGAGAAAATATCATAAAAGGCGGGTTTGTTGTTGTTATTGAGACAGAGTCTTACTCTGTCACACCGGCTGGAGTGCAGTGGTGTGATCTTGGCTCACTGCAACTTCTGTCTCCCAGGTTTAAGCTATTCTCCTACCTCAGTCTCCTGAGCAGCTGGGATTACAGTTGAATTAATCAGCCATTAACATCTGGTGATTTGTTTTGTAAGATTACGTTTAGTTTTGCCTGTTCACATTCATCTATAAAACACAAACAAGATACATTTTCCCACATAAGTATGTAAGTGATATAAGACTTTTTAAACACACTATTGGAATATACATGATTACATGCTTCAGTGAACTAAAACTTGCATCTGTGATCTTTATTTTGCAACACTCTGAAGTAACATTACAGTCTTTTCAGTGTGCTGTGTCATTTATGACCTTTTTTTTTTTTTTTTTTTTTTTTAAGATGGGGTTTCACCATGATGGTCAGGCTGGTTTGAACTCCTGACCTCTGGTGATCTACCCACCTCGGCCTCCCAAAGTGCTAGGATTACAGGCGTGAGCCACCACGCCTGGCTATGTCCCTTTTTAGTCCTAGGAATCCTTTATTGCCATTGAGCATATGAAAATTGAGACAGATGCATAGCTTCTCCCCATTGAACCCATCAGTGGGGAAAGATTTTCATGTGTCTGTTGAATGTAAAAGCTCCTCAGGAAACCTCACAGTTTACCTTTCCTATTATTTACCATTTGTAAACTAAGGCTCAGTGATATAAAATATAACACATTCTGTACTGTAGCATAACTGCAGCTTAGGTTTTCATATTCAAAGAGGTATAGCTGAAAATGTATGAACACTTATTATGCCTCAAGATCTCTTTGTTGGTTTATTTGTGGCATTTTCAAGCAGCTGACTTAGGGCTAAAGCATCTTTCTGGCATCAGTATTTCTCTAAGTTGCCTTTAAGCTGAATAAATATTTGGTTTTTATATTTAATTGCTTCTATGTGAAGCGCTGCAATTTAGAAAGAAATTACACATATGTAATATAGCATTTTACACTAAATAATAGTGACTGGCAGTTCATTGGCCCAAGAGGTATTATTTTTCAGGTATTCTGCTCTATGTCATCAGATGAGTGGCCTGGCATTCGTCTGGAAAGGCTTGCAGTTAGGGGTTCACAGTGCTGCTGGTTGGATATCTGCAGACCCTTTACATATAGCACTTTAGGATAGGGTGAGTCACAGGTTACAGTAGAAGTTGCCTTTGAAATTAGACCTAACCATGTGGAACTGGATCCCTTGTGCACAAAGCTCTCTGTATCAGCCAAATCTTGCTGACCTCTTAGGAAGAACAGTTTGTATTACAGATTCATTCTTTTCACACATAAGATTTCCCCACTGCCCAATTACTTGCACCTCTTTTTTTTCTTGACTCTTATGTTTTACTTGACTCTGGAGTCTTACCTTGCACTCTTACCTTTGCATGGGAGTATACCTTATTTTGCCAATTATGCTATCAGTTTATTAAAAGCAGAAATAGTTACTTATACCTGAAAATTTGTACTGACAGTGTAGCTGTGAATATGTTAAGAAAATATACTTAAAGCAAGAAATCAAAGAAAGTATATTTAAATCAAAGCAAATTCTATTTCCAAATGGCAATAAAGCACGTGTTACATAGAATCGTTGTATGAAAGTGTTTCAGTAGTCAAGATTAGATTGTACACTGGTGAATAAGCAAGAGTTCTTTTTTCATTTTCATCTTCCAATTCAACTGGGCATGTGGGTTCTTTTTTCTCTTCATGCATGTCACATAGAGACCCGTGTTGTAAATTATTTTGTCGGAATGAAAGCCTGGCAGATTAAATTATTTCTTCTCTTCTTGCTGTACTTGATACTGATCTCTTGTTCATTTTTTTGATAATATGTTTGATTATTTATGTTTTCATTGCTTTTAGTGTCAGAGATGGCATTGGTTTCCCAGTTCTGTGTGCTCCTGTGTGGCTCCTGAACCCAGCTGGAGAAATGTATCAATTTCAACTGGTGAAGTACTGAGAGAAAGCTACACAAAAGGCAGCAAGGTATTAGTAAGTGTACCTCTGATATTTTAACCACCTCTGACTTTTCCATGGAATGGACTAGTAGTAGTCCCTGTCAGAGCTACATTTGAAAGGAAAAAAAGAACTTGAAGTCAAAAGCTGTTGATTAATTCATGGTGTTATTTTGTGTTTACTCAACTCATTTATGTTGACTTGTAAGTTAGTAATTTACGAACTATTAATTAATTCATTGCCTACATATCAGCAAACAAGTTTTCTTAATAAAGAATCTGGTGGCTGGACACAGTGGTTTCCACCTCAGCACGTTGGGAGGGCAAGGCAGGAGGATTGCTTGAGGCCGGGAGTCTAAGATTAGCCTGGGCAACATAGCAAGATCTCATCTCTACAAAAAGTGAATATATTGGCTGGGCATGGTGGCTCACTTATTCTTGTAGTTCAAGGTACTCAAGAGCCTGAGGTAGGAGGATCACTTGAATCCAGGAGTTTGAGGATGTAGTGAGCCATGATCCTAACACTGCTCTCCAGTCTTGGGGACAGACCAAGACACCATCTCTTAAAAAAGAAATCTAGAGGATTCAGTGGAATGTGGAAGTGCATGTGTGCATAGGTGTGCTCAAGAATATGTTGAAGATTACACTCAGAATGAAGGTCATTTTTTTTATTGCATTTTAGGTTTTGGGGTACATGTGAAGAACATGCAAGATTGTTGCATAGGTACACACATGGCAGCATGATTTGCTGCCTTCCTCCCCTTCACCTATATCTGGCATATCTCCCATGCTATCTCCCACCAACTTCCCACTCCCCTGCTCTCCCTCCCCTATTTCCCCCCAATAGACCCCATTGTATAGTGCTCCCCTCCCTGTGTCCATGTGTTCTCATTGTTCAGCACCGCCTATGAGTGAGAACATGCGGTGTTTGATTTTCTGTTCTTGTGTCAGTTTGATGAGAATGATGGTTTCCAGGTTCATCCACATCCATACAAAGGACACGAACTCATCGTTTTTGATGGCTGCATAATATTCCATGGTGTATATGTGCCACATTTTCCCTGTCCCGTCTGTCATCGATGGGCATTTGGGTTGGCTCCAGGTCTTTGCTATTGTAAACAGTGCTGCAACGAACATTCATGTGCATGTGTCCTTATAGTAGAACAATTTATAATCCTTTGGATATATACCAGGAATGGGATTGCTGGGTAAAATAGAATTTCTATTTCTAGGTCCTTGAGGAATCGCCACACTGTCTTCCACAATGGTTGAAATAATTTACACTCCCACTAACCATGTAAAAGTGTTCCTGTTTCTCCACATCCTCTCCATCATCTGCTGTCTCCAGATTTTTTAATGATCGCCATTCTAACTGGCGTGAGATGGTATCTCAATGTAGTTTTGATTTGCATTTCTCTAATGACCAGTGATGATGAGCATTTTTTCATATGTTTGTTGGCCTCATGTATGTCTTCTTTTGTAAAGTGTCTGTTCATATCCTTCGCCCACTTTTGAACGGGCTTGTTTGTTTTTTTCATGTAAATCCGTTTTTAGTTCTTTGTAAATTCTGGATATCAGCGCTTTGTCAGATGGGTAAACTGCAAAAATTTTTTCCCATTCTGTTGGTTGCCGATTCACTCTAATGACTGTTTCTTTTGCTGTGTAGAAGCTGTGGAGTTTGATTAGGCCCCATTTGTCTATTTTGGCTTCTGTTGCCAATGCTTTTGGTGTTTTGGTCATGAAGTCCTTGCCTATGCCTATGTCCTGAATGGTTTTGCCTAGATTTTCTTCTAGGGTTTTTATGGTGTTTGGTCTTATGTTTAAGTCTTTAATCCATCTGGAGTTAATTTTAGTGTAAGGTGTCAGGAAGGGGTCCAGTTTCTGCTTTCTGCACATGGCTAGCCAGTTTTCCCAACACCATTTATTAAACAGGGAATCCCTTCCCATTGCTAGTTTTTGTCAGGTTTGTCAAAGATCAGATGGTTGTAAATATATTGTGTTGCCTCCGAGGCCTCTGTTCTGTTCGTTGGTCTATATCTCTGTTTTGGTACCAGTACCATGCTGTTTTGATTACTGTAGCCTTGTAGTATAGTTTGAAGTCCGGTAGTGCGATGCCTCCTGCTTTGCTCTTTTTGCTTAGAATTGACTTGGCTATGCGGGCTCTCTTTTAGTTCCATATGAAGTTTAAGGTATTTTTTTCCAGTTCTGTGAAGAAGGTCATTGGTAGCTTGATGGGGTTAGCGTTGAATCTGTAAATTACTTTGGGCAGTATGGCCATTTTCACGATATTGATTGTTCCTAACCATGAACATGGAATATTTCTCCATCTGTTTGTGTTCTCTCTTATTTCGTTGAGCAGTGGCTTGTAGTTCTCCTTGAAGAGGTCCTTTACGTTCCTTGTTAGTTGTATTCCTAGGTATTTTATTCTCTTGTAACAATTGTGAATGGCAGTTTGTTCTTGATTAGGCTCTCTTTAAGTCTGTTTTTGGTGTACAGGAATGCTTGTGATTTTTGCACATTCATTTTGTATCCTGAGACTTTGCTGAAGTTGTTTATCAGTTTCAAGAGATTTTTTTTTGTGAAGTAGTTAACAAGCCTATATAAGGTTAGGATTCCAATTTAAAGTTTTCAGTTGAAAGCCTTCAAAGTTCAGTTGTATGTCATGTAATGAGGAGTAGCGCTGAATTTGGCATAAGACTTAATGACCTTATTTGCAGCTTCCAAGAAATCCTTCTCAGTAGCAATTTTTCACCGTGCTCTGATGGCAGGACATACCAGCTTCTGTGCAGACACTTCTAATCTGAGCATCAGTGCTATTTGTACACAGTCTTGCTAACAATTCAAATCTGCTATCTCTTTCAACGTTCATTGAACGAGCGTGAATCTTAAAGATGTGGGTCCGACCCTCTAGATCAGGCAAGCTAAATTCAATTTTTCTATCCAATCTCCCTGGCCTCATCAGTGCTGGATCCAACGTATTAGGTCTGTTAGTGGCCATCAGCACTTTATTATTGCCTCGAGGATCAAAACCATCAAGCTGATTGATCAGTTCCAACATTGTTCTCTGCACTTCATTGTCACCTCCAGCACCATCATCAAACCGAGCCCCTCCAATAGCATCAATTTCATCAAAGAAGATAAGGCAGGCCTTTTTTGTTCTGGCCATTTCAAAGAGCTCATGAACCATTCGAGCCCCCTCACCGACATATTTCTGTACAAGTTCAGATCCAGTAACTCGAATGAAGCACCCATCAGTCCGGTTGGCAACTGCCCATGCACAGAGTGTCTTGCCTCTACCGCATGGACCAAAGAGCAGCACACCTTTGGGAGGCTCAGTGCCAAGGTTCACAAACCTCTCTGGATGAAGTAATGGGGTCTCAACTACTTCTCGCAATTTCTCAATCTGTTCCTTACAGCCACCAACATCACTGTATGTGACATCAGGTTTTTCCTCCACCTGCATCATGGTAACTGTTGGGTCAATCTTAGGAGGCAATGGAATGTGAATTCGACATTTATTTCTGTCCACACCCACTCTCATCCCTTCTTCAGTGTCAGTAGGTGCCACTTGATCACTAAGGTCCACCACAAACTTGGCAAACTGCTTTACGTTGATAATGTATTTGGGGTCCTCTGAATCAGCATTGATTATCTTTGTACACCTGGCAACCTGTAAAGGCTGTTCACTCTGGAGGGTCTGCTTATCTGCAGCCAAATCCCAAAGTGCTGGAGGGGCCAGGCCAGTGTCAGATTATTTAATACCAGTGAGCCCATTACTTTTGAAAAGTTGCTGAATGTCATCTTCAACTTGCTTGATCTGTATAGAATAAGTGCTCTGACCGAAAGTTTTCAGCAAGGCAATATCCCCCTCATCCAGAGCTCAGGTGGGCTTGTCCTTCTCATCCTCTTCGGTCTTCTGCTGATCGGCACCGAGGTAATCTGGCATTTTAACAGCTCCAAATGCCTCCACTCCGTAATGATTCGAAGGTAATTTTTATAAAGATCTCTCCATGTCTTAGATTGGATTCTTCCTTTAAATAATATTCTTTAATATGTAAGAATATTATTTAAAGGAAGAATCAAATCTAAGACATGGAGAGATCTTTATAAAAATGTGTTATTAAATGTGTTACATTAAATATTTATTAAATGTAATAAATTAAATGTGTTACATTTCATATGTAAGAATATTATTTAAAGGAAGAATCAAATGTAAAATGTCCATTGAGGATGAGGCAATAGAAACTTTACGGTGGTGTCTGCACTCTGAACATTGTGTGGGGCTGTTGCCCAGCCATGATCTTGGAGGAATGCCACTAAAGTGGCCAGTGTGCTTTTGATTTCCTTATATGAGGGGCCTCTGAGAAAAATATCATCAGCGTCATGCTACAGGGTACAAAGGTCCTGAAACACATGTTTAAGTTCTGCAGCTGGGCTACTGATATAGCATGTGGGCAATCTGGTAAATGTGTATGGACTGTCTTCAAAAGTATAAGCAGATGGGGACTCCTCTGTTTCGGGAATAGCACAGAACATATTGGCCAAATCTGCTGCAAAATGTTGTCCCACAGTCCTTTGATTGCCTTTTACTAACCAAACTATGTTCGTGGTTTGGACCTTGACGGGGAGGGTAGCTGGACATTAGGTTTCTATGACCAATAGTTTGTGTTATTTGTAAGAGATTTAAGTACTGTCCAAATGGGAGAATTGAGAGTGTGTTATGTGCTTACTAACTCTTATATCTAAAAGATATTTTATAATGAACCAAAGACCATCAGTTTCCAGGCCCAGGTGGTGCTATGGTGTATGAACCCCCTTCACTGGCTATAGAAAACATGCCAGTTCCCATTTGACTTGACTTGACCTGCCAGGAGGACCAGGAACATAGATTTGTTCTGTATAGAGTGTTGGCAGGTTATGATGTCCATGCCTAAAATGGGATGTAAGAAAGAGAAAGGAGCTACTACAATTAGTAGATTTTAAAAATGATGCCCACTGTGACCTCAGTGGTGATATGTTTGCTCATGACTGGTTGGCCAGAGTTTTCAGAAAGCAATGGGTGACCTGTCCTTTGGGTGCTTTGGGCTCCTACAAATGACTACGATTTGTGCTCCAGGGTCTCTAAGGGTAGAATTGAGGATTGTTGGTTAGGTCTGTTCCAATGAATGGTCTCTGATGTATATGGACAGTTGTGTTTTGGTGGAGGGACGTGGGCCAGGGCACTTCCAAGTTTCTAGGATAGGGACTGGGGAGGCTGCTGTTTCTGCAGGTCTGCAAAAAGGTCAAGATGAGCCTTGCTGATGGGTCTTGAGTTGCAGTTGTACTAGGGATGTTGTGGCTGTCTTGTCCATCCCATGTGAGTCAGGACTCGGAATGCCTTGGCCAGTATACATAAATTACCTCTGATCTGACCCATGCTGAGATGATTTCACATGCCAAAGCTGTGGAGCTGCCAGTAGAGGATTTTTTTTTCCAATTATTTCTCCTCTCTGTGAAGAGGGGAGCAGATGATTTCCTGCATTCAGAGTGTTGCCTGTGTGGTGGTGAACAATAAGGAGCATTGAATTCCCATCTGCCTTTCTGGAAATGGCAAGGCTGTGGGTTGTAGGGACCACAGCCTTTACTGGGAACCCATGAGCAGACAGTATTTCAGCTTC